TGCTGTAGTTTTTTTTTTTTTGCGGGGACACTTGCTGTAGATTTGATTTTGTGAGAATACAATTTTGATTATTCCTTGATGAGTACTTGCTGCATGATTTTTCCAGTGCATGTTCAAGTTTACATGTGAAAGGATTTTGCTTGATCAGGTGTTTGTGATAATGCTTCTAGGGGCAAATGTTTACAAATTGTATGTGCAATACTCGAATTAATGTCTTCAAGGCAAGTGAACATTGATTTGTACTGGTTTATGTTGTAGCCAACCATCTTCTTCTCTGATGATAGTGTACTTGAAATACCCATGCTTTTGTTTTTCTCTTATCGTGTGCTCCACACTGATCTGATTTTGTTTAACCAGGTAGCCGATGGATTGCTGCTACTGTTATTAATGTGTGCATATTTTCTAGCTGGGCAACTTCTCATAAGGAAGTCAATTGGTACTACAGTGACTATATAAGGAAAGATGGAGCTGATCGGCATCATTATGTTGGCATTTCTGCTCTCATTTGCAGCGTCTGATCGCCAAGGTCCACTTGCTTGTCTATCATCTGTAGTCATTCCATCCTTTTGGAGCACATTCACAATCATGGATTAATTAAGCAACATATTTTCTTATGATTAACAAGGAAATATTTTTTTTCCTTAGGTGATGCATTATATGATATGAAGCTGAAGCTGAACGCTACTAGCACACAGCTTACAGACTGGAATCAAAATCAAGTTAACCCTTGCACTTGGAATTCTGTTATTTGTGACAGTAACAATAATGTTGTGCAAGTGTAAGTTGCCGTTGTTGATCTCTCGCCACTTTGCTTACTTTGTGTACTGCCAATATTGTCCTATAGATCACGTAGCCAGAAGCTGGGATTTATTTAGTTTGCATTCCATATCCATTTCTGGTTAGCTCTTACGATTTGTACAAACAAGTACAAGTATTATTTTAGGTGCGTCTATTTTTGAAACAGAGGCAAAAGATTTGCCTCATCCATTAGTTAAGAAGAGAAGACAAGGTTTGGAACATAAGAGGAACCAAACTATATTAATACAAAGCCACTACTCCCCCGACAATAAATTACTCCAATGCTTCGACCCCGTGAAAACCCAAAGCTTTGCCTTGCACTTAATGTTTGCCAAAATAATTAGTGGAGGCATAGATTTCTTACAGAATACTCAGGCGTTTCTCTCATTCCAAATGGCCCAATTGGTGAACATTATGAGGGATGCCATCGCCTTGCTTCTTGTAGCCGTGTTGATCCACCAACTTCCGGTAGAATGATGAGTCGCTTATTGGGAGGGGTCGATGTCTGCGAGTCCTAACCAATCATTGGGCATCCGCCAAACCCTCAACATGAATCGACATTTGAAGAAGAGGTGAGCGGCGGACTCGTACTCATGCTTGCACAAAGGCAAAGGCCACAATTTTGGCAACCGCGCCGCTCCAAGCGGTCGGCTGTTCACACCCTATTTTGTATAGCAAGCCAAAAAAATTGACCTTTGGGGGAGCCTACACTTTCCAAATGACGTTGTTCATTGGAGTGAGGATAACTCCCAAGAATTAAGCCTTGTATGCCGCCGCCGAAGTATTCCCTGTTAGTGGAGAACTTCCAATGGATGGAGTCGTCAACATCCTCGTTCAAAGAAACTTGAGCAAGATGAGACCAAAGCTCGACGAATTTGCGGACGTGGTTCCGGGAAAGACCTTTGCTCATGTCAATCACTTTTATCCAAGCATCCTCATTCATGGCCAAGCTGACTTTCCACTTTTTGCGCTTGGGGGCTTTGAAGATGAGAGGGGCAATGTCTTTTGGCTTGTGCCATGCAACCACGGGGCGTCCCAAAATGGAGTCCCGTTCCCGTTCCCAATGGTGATGGTGGTGGGTGGGCCTGCAAACGGTCTCTCAATTAACCTTGCACTTTCGCCTGTCACCTTATCTTCCTCAGGATGGCAAGCGGCATGAGGTGGTGGATCGTTTGCGAGTTGAGGATCGATTTCATGAGCACCCCATGACCCGCCGAAGTGATGTTCATGCCCCACCACGATTTTGTCCTCGAGGTTTTGAAAGTCTATCCACCTGCGCTGCTCTCCCAGGGAGAGCGGCAGGCCTAGATATCTCACATGGAAGGACATACTTATGGCAGGCTGCCCCTCGAGGATGTTCTCCAAGTCCAAGTGCCTACACCATATAGGCACAACCGAGCTCTTGTGGAAGTTTGTTTGCAGCCATGTCACCTCACCAAACCCATGTAGAGTACGGGCAAGGTTTTGGACATCTTCCTTTATTGACGCCACGAAAACAGCCGTTTATTCCGCGTATAGGGATGTCCTGAAGGTAGCACAGATGGTGCCACGTCCCTGGATTTTATGGAGGGGGCCAAGCCTCATGGCCAAGTCGAGAATTTGTTGCAGCGGGTCGATGGCAATGGCGAAAAGCAGCGGCGGTAGCGGATCTCCTTGTCTAAGACCCTGGCCATGCGTAATTGAAGAGCCCGACACCCTATTGAGAAGGACCCTTGATAAAGAAGTGCCAAGGAGGGCGGCAATCCAATCCTGAAATCTGCTAGGGAAGCCCCTCCGTTGAAGAATGTCAACTATATAGTCCCAACTCACCGAGTCAAAAGCCTTCCGGATGTCGAGCTTGAAAAGGAGGGATGGCGTTTTGTTTTGTGAAGATGTGGGGCAAGGTTTCTAACATACATAAAGGTTTCTAACATACTCGTTATGAAACTATATGACACACATATATACCTCCACTTTCTATAAATGCATTGTAACACTTGCTAAGCCTCCATATGGTTCTGTTTACCGTAATACCGTGTTATTCATATTTCTTACGAAGACATTCAATTTTACCATGAGTTAACCTGATACCCTCCTGCAGAACATTGGCTTCTATGGGGTTCACTGGAGTTCTGTCGCCAAGAATTGGAGACCTCGAGCATTTGAATGTTCTGTAAGTGTACTCGTCTAGAGCAACAGAATATCTTTTAGATGTTAAGTGGTTGTTGTGATGGAATAGCTACTGTATCTTACTCTTTTATTTTGCTGAAAAGACCACTCTATGTCTCTATCTTATGATTCTATAGGAACAGGTGTGAGAAATGCTGACTATATTTCTATGCTTGCTAGATGAAGTGATGGTCGTATTGTGTCATGTGATCGCGTTCTCCAACTTTTATTAATCTTTGCGGTACATGACATTGCAGGTCCTTGCCTGGTAACAAGATTACCGGTGGCATACCCGAGCAGCTTGGCAACCTATCTAGTTTGACAAGCTTAGATTTGGAAGAAAATCTACTGGTTGGAGAAATCCCAGCTTCTCTTGGCCATCTTTCGAAGCTCCAACTCTTGTATGCATCGGAATTGTTACTACTTAATGTCATGAACATCAGTCATTTAACATTCCCTGATTCCCATTCACCTTTTGTTCTGTAACCAGGATACTAAGTCAAAACAGACTAAGTGGAACTGTTCCTAATACACTGGCAACAATCTCAAGCTTGACAGACATGTAAGGAGCAAACTAGTAATATTAATATTCATGATTTTTGTCCACAAGAGCTCATATCTATTTTTCTTAATCTCCTACCATATACAACTAATTTCTTTCTTATGATGGCAGTCGGTTGGCCTACAATAATCTCTCCGGTCCAATACCTGCTCAACTATTTCAAGTTGCACGTTACAAGTAATGGGGGGTCATTATAACATTTAATTCTATGTGTGTTAATTAGAAGGTCTAACAAAGGTTCATTTGTTTCACAGCTTTTCTGGCAATAACTTGACTTGTGGAGCAAACTTCGCTCATCCTTGTGCATCAAGTTCGCCTTACCAAGGTAACCAGCCATATTTTCTTTTGTTTTTTCCCTGGGTCATATTTTTCTGTTCTGCATTGTACACTTGTCAAATAGCACGAAATGCAGAGTGTTGATTTGATGTCTGTAAAATGATTTTGAGGCATATGCTAATTTTATCACTCTTTAATAGGTTCATCTCGTGGTTCGAAAATAGGCGTTGTCCTTGGAACAGTTGGTGGAGTGATAGGGCTGCTCATTATAGGGGCTCTGTTTATTATCTGTAATGGAAGGAGAAAAGGTCATCTGCGTGAAGTTTTTGTGGATGTATCAGGTAGTGTATATGGTGCTTTGTTTGTTTTCATCTTTTTTCCCCTGTAGTCTTGTTCATTAGCTTATCGGAACAAAGATGTGGTTTACTGGTTTATGTATGCATACACAGATTTTTTGTTACTGGCATATTATGGTTACTGAACCACATGTAACAGTGTTTCTGGCTATATGGAAATAGTTAGTGTCCAGCATCTTTTGCGACTTCTCTGTAGCACCATCTGTGTTTTTGAGGCACAATGTCCAGCTTACAAATTTGAAGTTTTCATGTGTTGCATTACATTGAACTGACCAATCATATGTAGCTGAATGCATTCCTCATATGCAGAGGCCGAGAGATTTTCTTTCATTTAACTAACAGATCTGATAACTTCCACAGGTGAGGATGACCGAAGAATTGCATTTGGGCAGTTGAAAAGGTTTGCATGGCGAGAATTACAACTCGCTACTGATAACTTCAGTGAGAAAAATGTTCTTGGACAAGGGGGCTTTGGAAAAGTATATAAAGGAGCACTTCCAGATGGCACTAAGATAGCCGTAAAGCGGTTAACTGATTATGAAAGTCCTGGTGGGGAGGCTGCCTTCCTGCGTGAAGTTGAGCTGATTAGTGTTGCAGTTCACCGGAATCTTTTAAGATTGATTGGGTTCTGTACAACACAAACAGAACGTCTACTTGTTTATCCTTTCATGCAGAATCTTAGCGTAGCCTACCGATTGCGAGGTACTTTCTTTCTTCTTAACCAATCGACCAGTTGATTCATCTCCTGCAATCCTACACTTGTGCTACTCTATGAATTTCTCAGATCCTTCATCAATGTGCTTAAAGATTCTGTAACTGGTCTTGGATCTTCATTTAGGCTTAGTAACTTCAATTCTAATGTGCTTCTAAAAATTTAGGTAGCTTCCTGTTGAAATCTTTATATTTCGTATGCTCAGTTTGCTTTACCGATGCAAGATGCCAGCATGCATAGACTTGTTTCTAGTAAGTAGTAAAATGATCTAGACAGTTACTTGGTAGGCATTATAAATCCTGAGTAAAGAATAGATAGACCAAAATGCAATATCAAATAATCTTCCGAGAAATACCATCCAGGTAAGTGATGAAAGAAAGGAAAAAGGCCAGTCAGTAAAATCCAACATCCAGTGTTTATTAAATGATTAAAGTGAGTGAAATGCAATTTGCTTCTACATCCAGAACATGATTTTTCTTAAATGTTTTTCAGTCTACTTTGTTTTTGTTGTGGACATTCGTTACCTATCCGTTTACAATGACTAAATCTATTTGTTAGTTTTTCTGTTTTCCTTCCATCTGTATACTTTTCTCTTATGTGCTCCTTGTGTTGAAATGTTGAATGGTGCAGAATTTAAACCTGGGGAACCAATATTAGATTGGAACGCAAGGAAACGAGTGGCTATAGGCACAGCGCGCGGACTGGAGTACCTGCACGAGCACTGCAATCCTAAGATCATACACCGTGATGTCAAGGCCGCGAATGTCTTGCTTGATGAAGGTTTCGAACCAGTTGTTGGCGACTTCGGCTTGGCAAAGTTGGTGGATGTACAGAAGACATCTGTGACCACTCAAGTCCGAGGGACTATGGGTCACATTGCACCAGAATATTTGTCCACAGGGAAGTCATCTGAGAGAACAGATGTTTTCGGCTATGGTATAATGCTTCTTGAAGTGGTCACCGGGCAGCGCGCCATTGACTTTTCACGTTTGGAGGAAGAAGATGACGTGTTATTACTTGATCATGTAAGTCAACCCCACTTCCCACCCCAACTTGATTGATTCAAGCTGCTACAGAGTTAACTTTGTGTATGAAGAACTCTATGGACAGCAACTTATTAAGAGACTCTCACTTGTTGAACAAAAGGACATGCATTCTTGGTACACTATAAATCCTGGACGCCGAAGCATATGGTCTAAAGCATAATGCTCGTGCCGCAAATGTGCAGGTCAAGAAGCTACAAAGAGAAGGGAATCTAGACGCCATCGTGGACCGCAACCTGAACAACAGCTTCGACAGGCAGGAGGTGGAGATGATGATGCAGATCGCGCTGCTGTGCACCCAGGGGTCGCCCGAGGACCGGCCCTCCATGTCGGAGGTGGTAAGGATGCTGGAAGGGGAAGGCCTGGCGGAGCGGTGGGAGGAGTGGCAGCAGGTCGAGGTGACGAGGAGGGAGGACTACGAGCGGATGCAGCAGCGATTCGACTGGGGCGAGGACTCCATCTACAACCAGGACGCCATTGAACTGTCCGCCGGCAGATAGGGGTGCCAGACTGCTCTGCTCGCTGTAGGTAATAATGCCATTCTTCGTAGCAGAATTGGTCGGAGTCTTGTATATTGTGATATTGTCGTAAGTAAAAAAAAAGAGAGTAGAGTTGGCTTGCAATGAAAGTTAAAACATTTATAACTCCCATCTGCTTGGCGAAGCCAAGCCGTACTGTTCGGTGCAGCACGTGCTTACTGTATGTAAATCGATTTGTTTTGCATAGCCATCTGCTGAACCTTCATGCGTCGCCCCATAAGTCCATATGGAGTTGGTTGTGCTGCCGCGCATCTTGCTTTGCTCCATGGCCGTGCACACCTACAGGCTACAGCAGCACTAATTTTCGTACTCCATCCGTCATATAATATAAGACGTTTTTTGACACTATGGACGGAGGGAGTACTTGGAAAACAAGATGGTGAGATGCAGCTGTGGCTATCTTTGCTGAGTGTGTTAATATTGATTCAACCATCGGGTTTAAACATTGTTATCGTTTGGCTAATCAAGTGATGCATGTGCTAGTTAATTACAGCTTTTGTAATCATTTTTCTAGTGTTTGGACAAATGAGTCACTAGATTATTGGTTCAACCATCGGGTTTAAAAATTGTTATCGTTCGGCTAATCAAGTGATGCATGTGCTAGTTAATTACAGCTTTTGTAATCATTTTTCTAGTGTTTAGACAAATGAGCCACTAGATTGTCTGGTTAGTAAGTTCACAAATGATGTATCTTTATTATGTGATTAATAAAGCTAGCATTGATGACCTTTCCTAAAGAGATCTCTTGGTCACACTACTACTGGCACTAGTGGAACACACTTTCACCCAATTTCCACCCATCATGGTCATGCTATCCCTTTTGGCTCTGATATCATGTAAAACTGCACACATCAACCCCTTCACCCGAAAGATTAAGTTGATAGAAAATATTGAACTATGTATTTATACGTCAACATGGATGAGATGCTAGGCACCAGGGTGATCGTGCTCAGCATGAGCCCATACACTGCTCCGTTGCTCCCGTGATAAAGAAGGATGGAGATGGTGATTCTGCATCGACTAACGCCACTTGAACACTGTGACAGTGAAGAACAAGTTTCCCCTTCAAGAAGAAGGCTGATCCCCATCCCACGCTGGCGTACAAGTACGTCGGGTTGTTCGCTGTCGAAGAGCATGTCGGAACGCTCGCCTACCGCCTGAAGCTTCCACTAGGCAACTGCATCCACCTTGTCTTCCACGTCTCACAGCTCAAGTCCTTCATCCTTGACTATGCGCCAGTGTTCTCCGAGCTGCCACGCATCCCCGACCTCACAGCCACCTCGCTGACACCGGTCTCCATCATGGATCGCCGCATGATGAAAGAAGGGCAACACCCCGGTCTTCAATGGGATACGCTGCGAGATGACACCACGACATGGGAAGACTATGACATGACATGCTCCGACGGCGGCTGTCACGCCTGTAGTGCGGATTGCAGAATACTTGTGAGGATCTCTCTTGCTAACTATGGATCTGAGGATTTCATGGGGATTCGAGCTAAGATATTTGAATTTTCGGATGAGGATTCCTCCCAGCCATCCGCACCTCTATCCGTTACAACCGAGCCGCGGCCGCAGCCGTCCAATTCCTAGCCAATCCTTACAAGTAACCCGGATCAGTATATATACTATTATACCCACTTAACGGGCCCAGTTTGGGCTAGCAAGCCACTGGGGTGGTCTCTTGGCCTGTGTGGACTTGGGCCTCTATTCCTTGACGCGCTCTGGATCGCTGTTGCCGGCAACCGCTGGATCAGCTACAGGGCTTGGCGCTCCTCCTGCAGGGACATGGGCTACAGGGCTGCTGACATCCCCCCTCCGTTGAGAGACGGCTTGCCCCAAGCCGTAGCTCGAGGAAATTGCTGGCGCAGAGAGTCCAGGTCTTCCCAGGTTGCTTCATCTGGCGAAGAGCCACTCCACTGGATCAAGCCTTGAGCGATCGTACGTTTGCCATGCTGCCGGACTCGTTGCTGGAGCACGCGGAGTGGTACCTGAGGAAGCAAAAGAGGATGGCAGTTTGCGAAGAACGGTGCAATTGGGCAGCACTACCTTTTTAAGCTGAGACACATGGAAAACCGGATGAATTCTACCGTCCGGAGGCAATTCCAATTTGTAAGCCACTTCCCCAATCTTGTCAAGGATGGTATAGGGCCCAAAGTATTTGAAAGCCAGCTTGTGGTTCGCTCTATGCACAACTGAAGATTGCACATACGGTTGCAGTTTCAAGAAAACTTGTTCTCCAACATTGAAAGATCTCTCAGTCCTGTTTTTATCAGCCATGTGCTTCATTCTCTGTTGAGCTCGGAGCAGATGTTATTTAACAGAAGCTACCATAACCTCCCTGTCTTGTAGCCACTGAATAATATCCACAGGGGCAACAGTATCACTGGCAGCAATCCCAAAGTATCTAGGAGAGTGCCCATAAAGTACCTCAAAGGGAAACTTGCCCACAGCTGAATGCCAATTTGTATTATACCAAAACTCACACAGGGACAGCCATTTGCTCCATTTGGAGGGGTGAGAACTAATAAAACTTTTGAGGTAGCATTCAATTTGCTGGTTGACTCTCTCAGTCTGACCATCAATAGCAGGGTGATATGCAGTACTCATGTTAAGCCGAGTACCAGTCCTGTGAACAAGAGTTTGCCAAAATTTGCTTGTGAACACCGGATCTCTGTCAGATACAATGTACTCTAGCATGCCATGCAGTTTGTAGATATTGTCCAAGAACACTTCAGCAACCTTTTGTGCAGAAAAGGGGTGTTTGAGGGCCATGAAATGCCCATATTTTGTAAACTTGTCAATGACCACAAATATGCAATCAAACAGATAGGAAGGAGGTAATCCAGTAATAAAATCCATGGTCACAGTTTCCCATGCCTTGCTTGGAACTGGTAAAGGAGAAAGCAACCCTGGATAACTCTTTCAGGTTTAGCTTGCTGACAAACTAAACAAGACTATACCCTATCCTTAATAAATTTCTTCATGCCTATCCATCTGAATAAGGAGTGAATTCGATGGTATGTGACAGGAAAACCAGAATGTCCTCCCAGGGGGCTATCATGAAAGGCAGCAAAATTTTTCTCCTGCAACTCCAGATTGTTGCCAACCCAAATACAACCTTTGCACCTCAGCAATCCTTGCACTAATTGATACTGAGAATTAGCAGGTGGTTTGACCGCAAGCTCTTGCAACAACTCTTTAGCTTTGTCATCTTGAGAATAACTGGCTACAATTTCTTCTATCCACACAGGTTCTGATTTGGATATGTGAAACATCTGGGAATGTGATGGTCTTCTAGATAGAGCATCAGCAGCAGAATTTTCTGCTCCCTTTTTGTAAACTATAGTATAGTTCAAACCCATAAGTTTGGTTAGAGCTTTCTATTGCCACACCGTGTGTAACTTTTGATCTTGCAGATGTACCAAACTCTTCTAATCAGTCCTAATGGTAAACTGCTAGAACTGTATGTAAGGTCTCCACTGCTCCACAGCTAGCAAAATAGCTAGATACTCATGTTCATAAACTGAGAGGGCCCTATCCTTGGGCCCCAAGGCCTTGCTGACATAAGCTATAGGATGACCTTCTTGCATGAGTACAGCCCCAATTCCTGAATCACAGGCATCGGTTTCAATGACAAAAGGCTTGTCAAATTGTGGCAGAGCTAAAACTGGGGCTTCCACCAGGGCCTTCTTGAGAGTTGTGAATGCAGTTTCAGTCACTGTAGTCCAGACAAATGGCACCCCTTTCTTAAGCAGCTCAGTGAGAGGTTTACTGATCAGACCATAATGCTTTATGAACTTCCTGTAGTAACCACTTAATCCAAGGAATCCTCTCACCTCTTTTACACTGGTTGGGGTAGGCCACTGTTCTACTGTCTGAATTTTACTAGAATCAATAGAAACTCCTGCAGAGCTGATGGTGTGGCCTAAATACCAATTTGTTGTTGAGCAAAAGCACATTTGGACATTTTCACTTTCCACTGATCAACTCTGAGTAGGGCCAACACCTCTCTAACATGTTGCAAGTGCTCCTGATAAGATTTGCTGAAAATCAATATGTCATCAAAGAAGACTAAAGCATTTTTCCTGTTAACTGGAGACAGTGTGGTGTTCATTGCTCCTTGGAAAGTGCCTGGATCTTCACTGAGTCCCATGGCCACTACTAAAAATTCATAATGGCCTAAGTGAGTTTGAAATGCAGTTTTATACTCCTCCCCAGCAGCTAACCTGATTTGATGGTAACCTGCTCTGAGGTCTAGCTTAGTGAACCAAGCAGCACCAGCAAGTTCATCTAGAAGTTCATCAATCACTGGCACTGGAAATTTCCCTTTTACAGTGTTAGCATTTAACATCCTGTAATCAACCACTAGCCTCCATTCTCCTCCTTTCTTCTTTACTAGCAACACAGGAGATGAAAAAGGACTTTTACTGGGTCTAATTATACCTGACTTCAGTAACTCTGCAATTTGTCTTTCAAGCTCATCCTTTAACTGAGGAACTATTCGATATGGCCTGACAACAGCAACTGGCCTTGCTCCTGGAATTAGAGGGATTTTGTGGTCACAACTCCTCCTGGGAGGTAACTGAGTAGGAGTTTCAAAAACATCAGCAAATTCATCTAGAATGGACTAAATTTCTAGAGGAATTTCGTTTTTCTCATTCATGTGCACTGCAGATATGGCTATACAAGTGTATGTGCAGTCCTCAGCTCCAAACCCATGCAAGGTAACTGTATGTCCTGCCTTAGTGAAAGAGAGCCACTTTTCCACCTAATCGATGTATATGGGGCTATGTTGGGCGAGCCAATCCAGGCCTAAAATCCCATCATAAGTATGCAAGGGCAACAACTTGAAGTCAGAAGAAAATGTGGTTCCATTGCATTCCTAGAGACATTCTTCAATTTGTTGCTGGCAGTGTATTGTTGTACCTCCAGCTACTGTGACAATGAGAGCGTTGATTGGGTTGACCCCTTCTAAGTGCTTGTACTGTGCATCCAGGAACGAATGGGTGCTGCCAGAGTCAACAAGGAATTGTAGTTTGTGCCCTTGTAGTTCAATTTCCAATTGCAGAACAAGAGCTTCAGGTTCCTTCCCCATTGCAGCAGCTGATAACCTGATAGAATGGACTGAAGATTGGGTTTGCTGTTCACTTTCAGAGTCTGAACTTTCAACTGACTGGGTTTGTAATTGATCAATCAACTCTTGGACGAAATGCAGTTGGACAGTGAATTTGCACACATGGTCTTTGGCCCACTTTTCTCCACACACAAAACATAAACCCTTGGATTTCCTATAGTTTTTCAGAGCTGTCCATTTGTCCTCTTGGCTAGTACTACTGACAGATTCTGCTTTCCTCTCTTCTGGCTTCGGTGGCTTGGAATTTGTAATTCCTGTGGAAGGTGTTGTTCTTCTGGTAGTTGCGAAGCTGGTTGGATTATACACTTCCCCTAGCTCCTCATGGAGCAGAGCTAACTCATAAGCTGCATCGAGATCTTTGGGTTTCTGCAAGGCCACTGCCATTCGAACTCCAGGCTTCAGCCCATCCAAAAATCGAGTGATATAGTGCAAGGAATTCGGCGCTTCTTCATATGATGTCAGCTGGTCATACAATTCCGCAAACCGTTCAACATAGTCTTCGACAGTCGTAGTCTGAGCAATCCTGAACAACCATCTGAGCAGTGTTTGATGCTGATTTCGGCCAAAACGACTCTGCAAGGCTTCACAAAATTTAGTCCAGCTGGAGTTGGGCATACGCCTCTGAATCGACTCAAGCCAACGCGCTGCGGCCCCCTCAAACTGAGCAGTTGCCAATGACACCCAGCGGCTAGCGGGCGTGCCCCAGAGTTTGAATTGATCCTCGCAGCAATTTTGCCATAGTCGCGGATTTGTTCCATCAAATTTGGGAAGTTCCAAATGCAGAGAAAACGAATTGTGCTCAGCAGTATCAACTGACGGATAATCCCGAGGGGAAAACTTTCTAGGGGAGAAACCAGAATCGCGCGCACCTCTAACCGGAGGAGGGACATAAATATTATGCACCTTCCCCCGGTGTTCGTTGTCGAAGCCAAGGGCGCCGGTCGCGGCGGCGCCACGACCCAGCCCAGCGTTGCGCGAAGACGTGGCGGCGTCGAGCTTGGGTTCGTGCTCCTGGGACTCCGTCTTGTACAGGTCGGATCTGATTTGCTCGATGTCGATGGCGAGCTCTTCCCGGATGCCGTCAGTTCTTGCTGACATCAGCCCATCGAGCGTCGTGTTGTTCCTCTCCATCATTTTGCTCATCGATTTGAGAAGCGACTCACCATGCGTTCGAAGCTTGTCATCCAAGTCGTTGGCGAATTCATGGCGAAGGATCTCGTAAACGGAGTGGCCTTCGTCGCTCAGCCCTTCCATCGCTTGACGTCGCCGCCGGTCGCCGAGACGCGTCGGGTAGCGGTGAGGGGGCAGCTCCCGGACGAAGGCTCTGATTACCAGATGTGAGGATCTCTCTTGCTAACTATGGATCTGAGAATTTCATGGGGATTCGAGCTAAGATATTTGAATTTTCGGATGAGGATTCCGCCCAGCCACCCGCACCTCTATCCGTTACAACCAAGCCGCGGCCGCGGCCGCAGCCGCAGCCGTCCAATTCCTAGCCAATCCTTACAAGTAACTCGGCTCAGTTTATATACTATTACACCCGCTTAACGGGCCCAGTTTGGGCTAGCAAGCCACTGGGGTGGTCTCTTGGCCCGTGTATACTTGGGCCTCTGGTCTTTGACGCGCTCTGGATCGCTGTTGCCGGCAACCGCTGGATCAGCTACAGGGCTTGGCGCTCCTCCTGCGGGGGCATGGGCTACAGGGCTGCTGACAGTACTGAACCTGCAGCGGACTGAAGATTGCAAGAGAGCTGTCTCTTGCGGCGGTGGGCCGTCGGCCTTGTAACGAGGGACCGAGAGTGGCCCAATGGGGGATCGGCCTAGTGGCTATTTAAGTGTGTGGCTGTGTTCTTCTCAAAGAAAAAAAGAACTTTTGTGTGGCTGTGTTGTAAACTGTAAAGTGTAAACCTTGGGGTTTAAAAAGAAATGAGAAGCGTGTGCTCTCCTCTCACCTCCGCCGTCTCCTTCCTCAGCTGCTCTCCTCTCCTCTCACCTACCCTCCAGATCGGGTCGTAACAGGGAGTGGCGATGGCTCCGGTGAAGCTGTACGGCATGACCATGTCGTGGAACGTGACGAGGTGCGTGGCGGCCCTGGAGGAGGCAGGCGTCGAGTACGACGTCGTGCCCATCGACTTCGGCGCCGGCGAGCACAAGACCCCCGACCACCTCGCCAGGAACGTACGTAAGCTTACCGCATTCAGTTTGCAATGCCCTCCATATATGCTTCTAGTCTCAAGAGGGGTCTCCGGTAGGCGTTTCCGGTGCAGCTCATTGAAACCCATGCCTGCTTGTTCTTCTTATGAAGTCCTGACTAGAATTTCAGAAACGAACACATGCAACATATGATCTCAGCAGGAGATCTAATCAACTGGTCATCAAAACAAGCCTTGTTCTGATGACTGCTAGGTTAACTAGTCCCTCCGATTCATATTAATTCACACTGCTTTAGTACAACATTTGCGTCGGGAGTACATTGCGTCTGCAGGTCTGCAAGTAGCACCAAGCTACCAAGAACCTGATCAACTGTCTCCATACAAACCATCCAGCCTGTTAAGATACACGCACTTGGTAACTTTTTCCCTCCTATTGTAACCATCCATTCGACGATTGGTACTATTCGAAATTTCAGACTTGTCTTCTAAGCAATTTTTTTTTTTGCCTTTTGAGCAGATCTTTCCACACTCTGCTTTGTCGATCCCTTTAGTAGCTACAGTTTCGTTGAACGCAATTAACCATGAATTTGAATGTGGAATTATCTATACATACAATTAGTCTGCTACTACGGGGTATGTTTGGCGGCAAATTTTCTGCTCGCCAGTTCTATACTAAAAGAAGCATGTACTCCCTCCGTCCCAAAATAAGTGTCTCAATCTTAGTACAATGGAAATGTATGCATGTTATCTTATTCACATTGGTTTATTCAACCGATCTTAGTGTTATATTAACTGTGGCATTTGATTCCTGTTTTTAAGAGGTGTGACATCTGATTGACAAAAACCTCACTGTCTTCATATGGTCCTCTGCAGCCCTTTGGTCAGATGCCGGTTTTGCAGGATGGTGACTTCTACGTCTGGGGTATGATGCTAACTCTTGGAGATGTCTCTCTTTTCCATCCATCGTTAATATAAACTTAAAAGGGACAAGATGCTCTGACATTATTGTTGCTTTGCTGTTGATGTTGCTGCCTTATTTCCCAAAAGTGTGTCTAAGCTGGCATTTCCAGTTTTCCACCTTGGTTCAAATGGTACCTAAGCTGTTCAGTATAAGATGACGTGATGCAAAATATATATCAATTATGTATAAATTGTCAGCTGTTATTGTATTAGGAGCCCCATTCCCTCCCTTTACCAGCTCTTGTTTTGCCTTCTCGATTTTATTATTTGTTATGCCTTTTCACTTTGGCAGCAAGCTCCCATTGTTTCATAAAAAAAAGGAGTACATATTTTGGGACTTGGTTGCTATGTGAAACAATGTTTCCACTAGGCAAATAATGAAATGTTTTTTTTTCCTCCTTGTTAGAATCGCGTGCTATTTGCAAGTACACATGCCGCAAGAACAATCCGGAGCTTTTGAAGGAGGGCAACCTCAAGGAATCAGCAATGGTAGATGTGTGGCTCGAGGTGGAGGCCCATCGGTACACGGCCGCAATGGAGCCTATTATCCTTGAGTGCCTCATCCGTCCTATGTTCGGGCGAGCCACTGACCAGAAAATTGTCGAGGATAACCTTGTGAAACTGAAGAAGGTGCTGGAGGTGTACGAGGCGCGCCTGACCAAGTGCAAGTACCTTGCTGGAGACTTCCTCAGCCTAGCGGACCTTAACCATGTGTCTATTACCGCATGCCTGGCGGCTACACCCTACGCTTCTTTGTTTGACGCGTATCTGCATGTGAAAGCCTGGTGGTCTGGTCTGATGGCGAGGCCGTCCGTCCAGAAGATCACTGCACTGAAGAAGCCGTATTTTAAGAATAGTGTCTAGCACAGTTTTCGCCGCGATCCACGAAATAAGCCGGGTTGTCTTCCGATGTTTGTCTGTCTAGGTGCGTGTTGGTGTAATAATTAGATAACACCCCGCGCGTTGCTGTGAGATTTTTTAGCAATAAACTGTGAAATGATTTGTTGCTAAAAGGTAAAAGAATCTAATGACGTGGAGGGTTTGCTTGTGTTTGATGATGTAGAGGGTTTTTCATGTGTTAGAAAAGATTCAATGTGATGGACTTGCATGTTGATTGATGATGTGGAGGCTTGCATGTGCTAGAACGAGAATCACAACAACAGCGCAAGCGCCCCCATCCCCCCACCCCCCAAGGGAATCTTCAGTATGTTCCACAAGATATACATCGCAACAATAGTTGTGCATTTTCTCTCCTTGCATTTTGCCATTGTTTTGTTAGATCATCCAACAACCTCCCAATAGACGAAGCCTGCTAGGTTGGAATGATGTTCAGGTAATGCCTCCTGTCTCCACCCTACGATAAAACATCATGGTAAAAATTACGGTTTACCAGGATTGTGTGGTAATAATTAGATAACACCCCTTTCTCCTCTTCACAAAATAATCGATCAACCACACAATCCTATGATTGACATATCTTTGCCATGGACCTTCCCACACTTGACATCGAGTAAATGCGCGACGAAGAGGCTTGACACCATAACAAGGCATGGGCTCTTTTTTTTGCAATTAACATTGCATGGCCTCTTTGGCATGAGATTTGACACCATAGCAACGCATGAGGTTTGACACCATAACAAGGCATGAGGTTTGACGTCCATTTGATGCGCGATGAAGAGAGGTTTGACACCATAACAAGGCATGAGGTTTGACGTCTAGTTGATGCACGATGAAGAGAGGTTTGACACCATAACAAGGCATGTGCTCTTTGTTGTGTCTGAGTTGTTGAGGTGGCATAGCAAGGAATGAGCTTGAGGTTGGGACGAAGTGTGAGCTCAATGGCCGGACCAGGTGGGGGGGAGGGGGGCGGCCCTGTGTCTCCGCCCTCTGATAAAGTATTAGGGGTGTAAAGTCAGACCTACCGACTATGTGCAAGAAATATTGTCCCTTTTTTCCTCCACAAAAGAATCTACCAAGTACCAACCATACCATCGTATGATTGATACAACTTTGCCATGAGGATCCCTACACTTACATTGAGTTGACACACAATGAAGAGGTTTGACACCGTAACAAAATATGGACTATTTGTTGCGTCGAGGTGTTAACATGGCATGCCAAGGAATGCATGAGGTTGGGACGAGGTATGACTTGTGAGCTCTAAACCAAGGCGTGAGGTGAATCAACGTGTGTGTGTCTGGAGGGGCGGGGGGGTGTTGCCCTCTGTCTGCGCCCTTTAATAATAAACATTGGAGGTAAAAAGTCATGCCCGCACCCTCTAATAATGAGAGAATTGCCACTATACCACTAATGGAAACCACGAGTGCCAAAACACCACTATGAAAAACCAAAGTGTCAAAATAGCACTCTTCTCTCAGTTTTTCAGGCCAAAATAGCACTCCCGTTATATGTCAAACAAATTCTGTTAGTCAAACTGTTAGCAATTTGTCACTTTTTCTAGTATTCCCAAAATGCCCCCTGTAAACCTAAAGAGATATCCTCGTACACATCTCTCCCGTATCCTCCTCCTCCTCCCAGCCCACTCATGGCGGCGAGCCGGCGCTTGCTCCGCCGCCCTTCCGCTCGCCCCACCTCCCTCCCCTAGCCTGACCGCCCAGCACCGCGTCCTGTGGCCTCGCCGCCCTCCCCGGGCCCCCGACGCCGGCCTCCAACGACCCCGACGAGGCCCGGCGCCGACCTCACAGGACCCCGGTGAGGCCCGACGCCGTCCTCCCAGGTCCTCCACGGCAGCTGCTGGGGCGGCCTCCCAGGCTCCCGACGCTGCCCTCCCTGGCCCTCGCAGCAGCTTCCGACTCGGCTCTCCCCAACAGCTCAGCGCCATCCTACCAGGGCCCTCAACCTTGTATGATTTCCCCCATGTTACCTTAGTATTTTTCATTTCAAGTGCAGCAAATCCCTGGTATTTTTCTTGCAAGTGGATGGGAATATTTGGTGTTTTGTCAGGTATAGATGATGTATTGTCTCTAGCAACTAGTATCTACTGTGAATGGTGCTAGTATCTACTGTCAATGGTGAATGCTCCTAGATGATGAGCCTCTATTTGTGTGTTTCAGATTCGATGGGCGATTTCAAAGTAGAAATAGATGTCCATTCTTACTTGATGATTGTAGATGGCAGAAGAGTGTACACAAGGGGCAAAACATGGAATTTTATGGCCGGTCGGGGCTTGTCTGTGGCGCGGATAAAGGAGGTTGTGGAGGAGAGGTACAAATGGTCTGCTGATCAGAGAATGACCATTTGGTATGGATCCGGAGATAACGCCGTCCCATTGATCTCTGAATCAGAGATAGCCCAATTGTTTGATACATGTTCTAACACAAAAGTAGTAAGGTTTTCAATAATTGGATTAAGGACATGAAGCAGCTTGCATTGGTTGAGCTTTTGGACAACCTTAGGGAAATGATAACGAAATTGTTAGAGAAAAGGAGAGCCGTTGCCGGTGCGCTTCTAGGTTACATACTACCTAGTGTGATAAAGGAGTTGAATTTGAAAAGCAAGGGGCTGCATTATTTGGAAGCAAGAGCATCGCCAAATATAGCTGAGATTTCAGGAAATGGATGGAGGCACACCGTTAACTTGGAGAAAAATGAGTGCTCTTGTAGGAGATGGCGGATTTGTGGTAAGCCATGCACACATGCTCTTCGGTTCATATTCTCCAAAAAAGCCAAGCATGAGGATTATATTGATGAGTGCTTCTCAGTGGCAAGGTTCAAAGCGGCATATGAGGGAATTCTCATGCCAATTAGGGGCAGGTCCCAATGGCCCAAGGTAAATCCTGGATTTGATATGATCCCTCCCAAGCTTACCAAGAGTGCTGGACGTCCAAGAACTAGGAGGATAAAGAATGACACCGAAGGTGGAACCGGCAGAAAACATAAATGCAAAAGGTGTGGAGCATTAGGTCATCTTTGGAAGACATGCAAGGAGCCAGAGATTGAAAGTGACGCGGACCGAGATGCTACTCCTCCTCCACAATAATTATTTCATGAGTCTAAATTCCTTTCACTTGTTGCCAAATGTCTTGCATATTAATTGCTAATAATGTTGTATTGAACTGTAGGAAAATTCAAAGGTTGAAGCAAGCATTGCAGCTACTTCTTCTCGTATTACACCAACAAGGTACTCAACTTGTTACTCCTACAAGTCCAATGACAAGGCAAAGGGCAGCAGCTATTGCAATTGCTTCAACACCTCCTAGTGCCTCTACAAGGAGCAAAACTGCTGCTCCTAGCCCTCTTCGATGAGTTTAGTTCATTTGGTTGTGAGAACCATGATCTTTTGCTTATGGTATGAGTTTGCTGTACTGGAATGCAGATTATACTAGCCACTTGTCTTTTCCGTTCATTAATTTTCTCTAAAAACATTTGGATTCTAAATTGCCTTCATCCTGATCCTTACTCCATTCTCTCTAAAAACAACAATGCCATGTGAAGGAGGATATCAGCAAGCTTTGGGATGTTGAGCGCTCCAGATCAGGTTGCATACTTTGTTCTTTTATGTTATGTGACTTGTTGGTTATTCTGCTGTTGCTCACAACCTTTCTTTTCTGCTATCCTGTGGTTAGTACTAGAAAGAAAACATCCAACACTAGGATATCTACATTCAGGAAATGTCATAATACTAACTAATACCATTTTCAACTTGCAGATATATGGATTTTGGTTCGTCAATCAGGGAGAGCAGAGAGCTGCATTTCCTTAGTCAGTTATAGTTCTAACTGTTTTTATTATAATTTGTAGCAGATTAATTAGATGCTATGTAACCGGAGCAAGTACTCCTATCCTATGGTACGATGACTGTTTGCAACTGTGCTTGCATGCTTAGTAGCAGAATGGTGTATGTGATCAGGAGGTGCTCTTTTGCTAATTGCTATATTGTGTTGTGAGAACCATTTTGTGTCCATGTCCATTTTGTGTTGAAGAGGTAAGGGCATGCAAGTCTTTTTTTGGATGATGTTAGTCTCAGTTATGAACTAGTGGTATTTTGGCTAGAGAAAACTGAAGTAAGTGCTATTTTTTGGCAAGTTGGCTTTTACTAGTGGTATTTTGGCATGTTTGGTTTTGACTAGTGATACTTTGGCTATTGTCTCTCTAATAATAAACATTGAAGGTAAAAAGTCATGTCCGTGCCCTTTAATAATAAACATTGGAGGTAAAAAGTCATATGTAAGAGTATATGCAAGATATTGTCTCTTTTTCTTTTGGGCAAAAGAACCTATCTACCATACCATCATTAGCTTATATACCGCTTTGCCATTTCTTCCTTTTCCACGGAAAAAAAATACAAGGGCCCTCTGGGTCTGGTAAGCACTACCACTACGAAAAAAGAACAGCACATCACATGCCACAGAGCTCACACACAACTTTGCAACCTTCATTGCCTTTACTTTTGGCGATGGTGGCTCGCATACCCGGCGTAGCTAGCTAGAGCAGCCCGCAGTATCAACTAAGGGCATGTACAATGGTTCTATCTTAAGAGTGTCACGTAGGATAAATGGTGAAGTGGAGGAGAGAGAAATCGTAAGATAAGGCTTGTCTTCTCTTATTTAAGGGAAGACAAGAGATGATCTCTTAACATAATTTGTCTCACCATATTTTTAGGAACAGCTAATTATTAAAGATAAGGCTAAGAAATGATCCATTGTAGACATGTTTTTTTGTCATCTCTAATTTACATGCAGGACTTAAGATAAGACTATCTTATCAACCATTGTACATGCCCTAACAGGTGTCCCGTGTGACATGGCTCGCCACGCAAAACTTCGCGCCTAAGAAATATGGCAGCTCGGCCCAAAGTCGACACCCAGCGGAATGGTCGGAAAGAGCGGAAAGGAGAGGAGAGGAAAAGGACGTGGCCGGCCGGCTGCCGATATAAAGCATATAGCCGAAGGAAAGCTCACCCCGCACTACTTCTCGGGCGTACGTAGCGCGGCCACACACACACCAGCAGCTATCGTCGTCGAACACTCGACTCAGAGCCAGCCAGCGGAGGAGAGCGCGCGCGCACGAGCTCTAGCTCGGACCTCCACCAACACTTCGCCGATCGTTACGATGGCGAGTCCGGCGTTCCTGCTGCTGCTCTTGCTGGCCGTGTCGATCACGGGATCAGGTGAGTGAGATGTACGTGCATGGATTTCGCCGTTGTGGCGCGGTGGTGAGTGGCTGCATGTATGTGACGCCGGTTGTGTCGTGTGTGTGTGTTTCCGGCGCGTACGTGCAGACGCGGAGTGGTGCGTGTGCAGGTCGGACGCGAACGAGACGGCGCTGCAGGAGACGCTGGACTACGCGTGCGGGCAGGGCGCGGACTGCGCGCCGGTGGCCACGGGAGGGAGCTGCCACAGCCCCGACTCCGTGGTGGCGCACTGTTCCTACGCGGTCAACAGCTACTACCAGAGGAGCAGCCAGACCAAGGGCGCCACCTGCGACTTCGGCGGCACCGCCACCCTCTCCTCCGCCGATCCCAGTACGTACCGTGCCTTCTACCTTCTACTCTCTTTTTCTGAGGGACTAGGACGATCACCATGCTGTTTAGTTCTATCGGCCTCACCTCACCATGCATATGTGTTTGTAACTGCTGCAGGCTCGGGAACCTGCAAGTACCCTGCAACCGCAAGGTAATAATCCCTTGTACCCGGGCAAATCATAACGAGTACTTACCAAACATTTATCATTGCATGATGAGCTGACGTATTTTCCCTATGTAAATCGCGCAGTGCTGCAGGGACGAGCACCGGGAACGGCACGGCGACAGGCACAGGCACCGGCACCAACTCTTCTTCCCCGGGCTCAACAAACCCAGCTACCCCCGGCATGGGAGGGAGCTTCACCACGCCGATCGGCAGCGCGTCCGGCCCTACGGCGAGCATCATAGGCCCCGAGAGCAGCGGTTTAGGTGCCGCCGCGGCCGCCTTTGCTGGCGTCCGCGGCCTCCTCGGCGTAGCCGTGGCCTCCGTCCTCGCTTTCTAGGTGCGGTGTTGATCATGAAGCAGCGAGAAACGTAGTGCATTCTTTTTAATCATCTCCAATCCGTAGTGCGTTGTTGCTTTGGTGGAGATGTGGCTGTCGTTTTGCTTTAGTGTTTGTACGCCTTTAATGCTCTTTTAGTCCATGTATATGGAGTTTAATTTCTTTGCCTCATGTCGATGTCGTACTTGTGTCCCGTGAAACAATTTGCATCATGGATGTGATGTTACTGCATTTTTTGCCTGGCGGATGATGTTATTGTGCCTTTTTCTGAAAACCAAGCTCACTTTATATATTCAAACGGGATTGCTAAATCTCAGTTGACTAAGACTTAACCAAATCTCAGTTGGTGCTATAGTTTATGTTTTTTTTATGTTATATGCCATTTGAGACTTGACTAAGTTCTAGCCACTCCCTATTCAAAATGTTACACAAGGTGGTGCACGAACCAGACATGATGTCCAAAATTACTCAAAGCATCTCCATTGAAAGGCCTTGTGTAGGCGCTTAAAGAGGAAAAGATAAATATTTAAAGAAAAAACTGCGAAGCGTCTATTAACCCAACGTTGAGGGCTAGCTATAGGCGCTAAACTAGTCACTGATCAATCACTGCACACACGGGGTTTCTACAGTCACGAAGAAAACAAATGTTAAGCGGCCGCCTCCACATGTTGCATCGATGCCTTGGTAGGCGTCAGGATTAGTTAGCCGATAATACTACACACATAGACTCTCTTGACGGATTTTTACGGATCCTGATGCGTGCCCTTCTCTAATTGGTAAACATTTGTGAACGGCGGGCCGGCGGAACGCTTTGGCCGGTCTGTTGGGGAACGTAGTAATTTCAAAAAATTTCCTACGCACACGCAAGATCATGGTGATGGCATAGCAACGAGAGGGGAGAGTGTTGTCCACGTACCCTCGTAGACCGTAAGCGGAAGCGTTAGCACAACGCGGTTGATGTAGTCGTACGTCTTCACGATCCGACCGATCCAAGCACCGAACGTACGGCACCTCCGAGTTCAGCACACGTTCAGCTCGATGGCGATCCCCGGGCTCCGATCCAGCAAAGCTTCGGGGATGAGTTCCGTCAGCACGACGGCGTGGTGACGATGATGATGTTCTACCGGCGCAGGGCTTCGCCTAAACTCCGCGACGATATGACCGAGGTGGAATATGGTGGAGGGGGACACCGCACACGGCTAAGGAACGATCCGTAGATCAACTTGTGTGTCTATGGGGTGCCCCCTGCCCCCGTATATAAAGGAGCAAGGGGGGAGGCCGGCCGACCCAAGGGGGGCGCGCCAGGAGGAGGAGTCCTCCTCCTAGTAGGAGTAGGACTCCTCCTTTCCTACTCCTACTAGGAGGGGAAGGAAGGGGGAGAGGGGGAAAGGAAAGAGGGGGGCGCCGCCCCCCTCCTAGTCCAATTCGGACCAGAGGGAGAGGGGGCGCGCGGCCCACCCTGGCCGCCCCTCTCTCTTCCCACCAAGGCCCATGTGGCCCATTAACTCTCCCGGGGGGTTCCGGTAACCCCTCGGGCACTCCGGTTTTCTCCGAAATCACCCGGAACACTTTCGGTGTCCGAATATAGTCGTCCAATGTATCAATCTTTATGTCTCGACCATTTAGAGACTCCTCGTCATGTCCATGATCACATCCGGGACTCCGAACAAACTTCGGTACATCAAAACTTATAAACTCATAATAAAACTGTCATCGTAACGTTAAGCGTGCGGACCCTACGGGTTCGAGAACTATGTAGACATGACCTAGAACCATTCTCGGTCAATAACCAATAGCGGAACCTGGATGCCCATATTGGTTCCTACATATTCTACGAAGATCTTTATCGGTCAAACCGCATAACAACATACGTTGTTCCCTTTGTCATCGGTATGTTACTTGCCCGAGATTCGATCGTCGGTATCCAATACCTAGTTCAATCTCGTTACCGGCAAGTCTCTTTACTCGTTACGTAATGCATCATCCCGTAACCAACTCATTGGTCACATTGCTTGCAAGTCTTATAGTGATGTGCATTACCGAGAGGGCCCAGAGATACCTCTCCGACAATCGGAGTGACAAAACCTAATCTCGAAATACGCCAACTCAACATGTACCTTTGGAGACACATGTAGTACTCCTTTATAATCACCCAGTTACGTTGTGACGTTTGGTAGTACCCAAAGTGTTCCTCCGGTAAACGGGAGTTGCATAATCTCATAGTTTCAGGAACATGTATAAGTCATGAAGAAAGCAATAGCAATATACTAAACGATCAAGTGCTAGGCTAACGGAATGGGTCATGTCAATCACATCATTCTCCTAATGATGTGATCCCATTAATCAAATGACAACACATGTCTATGGTTAGGAAACATAACCATCTTTGATTAATGAGCTAGTCAAGTAGAGGCATACTAGTGACTATATGTTTGTCTATGTATTCACACATGTATCATGTTTCCGGTTGATACAATTCTAACATGAATAATAAACATTTATCATGATATGAGGAAATAAATAATAACTTTATTATTGCCTCTAGGGCATATTTCCTTCAGTCTCCCACTTGCACTAGAGTCAATAATCTAGATTACATAGTAATGATTCTAACACCCATGGAGTCTTGGTGCTGATCATGTTTTGCTCGTGAGCGAGGCTTAGTCAACGGGTCTGCAACATTCAGATCCGTATGTATCTTGCAAATCTCTATGTCTCCCACTTGGACTTGGTCCCGAATGGAATTGAAGCGTCTCTTGATGTGCTTGGTCCTCTTGTGAAATCTGGATTCCTTTGCCAAGGCAATTGCACCAGTATTGTCACAGAAGATCTTCATTGATCCCGATGCACTAGGTATGCCACCTAGATCAGAAATGAACTCCTTCATCCAGACTCCTTCATTTGCTGCTTCCGAAGCAGCTATGTACTCCGCTTCACATGTAGATCCCGCCATGATGCTTTGTTTAGAACTGCACCAACTTACATCTCCACCGTTTAATAAAAATACGTATCCGGTTTGCGATTTAGAATCGTCCGGATCAGTGTCAAAGCTTGCATCAACGTAACCATTTACGACTAGCTCTTTGTCACCTCCATATACGAGAAACATATCCTTAGTCCTTTTCAGGTATTTCAGGATGTTCTTGACCGCTATCCAGTGATCCACTCCTGGATTACTTTGGTACCTTCCTGCCAAGCTTATTGCTAAGCATACGTCAGGTCTGGTACACAGTATTGCATACATGATAGAGCCTATGGCTGAAGCATATGGAACATCTTTCATTTTCTCTCTATCTTCTGCCGTGGTCGGGCATTGAGTTTGACTCAACTTCACACCTTGAAGCACGGGCAAGAACCCTTTCTTTGCCTGATCCATTTTGAACTTTTTCAAAATTTTATCAAGGTATGCGCTTTGTGAAAGTCCTATTAAGCGTCTTGATCTATCTCTATAGATCTTGATGCCCAATATGTAAGCAGCTTCACCGAGGTCTTTCATTGAAAAACTTTTATTCAAGTATCCCTTTATGCTATCCAGAAATTCTATATCATTTCCAACTAATAATATGTCATCTACATATAATATCAGAAATGCTACAGAGCTCTCACTCACTTTCTTGTAAATACATGCTTCTCCAAAAGTCTGTATAAAACCATATGCTTTGATCACACTATCAAAACGTTTATTCCAACTTCGAGATGCTTGCACCAGTCCATAAATGGATCGCTGGAGCATGCACACTTTGTTAGCACCTTTTGGATCAACAAAACCTTCTGGTTGCATCATATACAACTCTTCTTCCAGAAATCCATTCAAGAATGCAGTTTTAACATCCATTTGCCAAATTTCATAATCATGAAATGCAGTAATAGCTAACATGATTCGGACAGACTTAAGCATCGCTATGGGTGAGAAAGTCTCATCGTAGTCAACCCCTTGAACTTGTCGAAAACCTTTCGCAACAAGTCGAGCTTTATAGACAGTTATATTACCATCAGCGTCAGTCTTCTTCTTAAAGATCCATTTATTCTCAATGGCTTGCCGATCATCGGGCAAGTCAACCAAAGTCCATATTTTGTTCTCATACATGGATCCCATCTCAGATTTCATGGCCTCTAGCCATTTTGTGGAATCTGGGCTCATCATCGCTTCCTCATAGTTCGTAAGTTCATCATGGTCAAGTAACATGACTTCCAGAATAGGATTACCATACCACTCTGGTGCGGATCTTACTCTGGTAGACCTACGAGGTTCAGCAGAAACTTGATCTGAAGTTTCATGATCAATATCATTAGCTTCCTCACTAATTGGTGTAGTTGTCACAGGAACCGGTTCTTGTGATGAACTACTTTCCAATAAGGGAGCAGATACAATTATCTCATCAAGTTCTACTTTCCTCCCACTCACTTCTTTCGAGAGAAATTCCTTCTCTAGAAAGGATCCGATTTTAGCAACGAAAATCTTGCCCTCAGATCTGTGATAGAAGGTGTACCCAATAGTCTCTTTTGGGTATCCTATGAAGACACATTTCTCCGATTTGGGTTCGAGCTTATCTGGTTGAAGTTTCTTCACATAAGCATCGCAGCCCCAAACTTTAAGAAACGACAACTTTGGTTTCTTGCCAAACCACAGTTCATAAGGCGTCGTCTCAACGGATTTTGATGGTGCCCTATTTAACGTGAATGCGGCCGTCTCTAAAGCATAACCCCAAAACGATAGCAGTAAATCAGTAAGAGACATCATAGATCGCACCATATCTAGTAAAGTACGATTACGACGTTCGGGCACACCATTTCGTTGTGGTGTTCCGGGTGGCGTGAGTTGCGAAACTATTCCGCATTGTTTCAAGTGTAGACCAAACTCGTAACTCAAATATTCTCCTCCACGATCAGATCGTAGAAACTTTATTTTCTTGTTATGATGATTTTCCACTTCACTCTGAAATTCTTTGAACTTTTCAAATGTTTCAGACTTGTGTTTCATTAAGTAGATATACCCATAT